CCACTACCCCCCATCACCTACCCATTACCCAACAACCCCACCCTAAATCGAAGAAAAGAAAACCCTTACAGGCCCGCTGCCTCCAATATCATCTTTATCCCTCCTTTCCTCCACCTGAACGAGAATCGTCAAGATTGAGAGCGAATTCACAGAGATCCGAAATTTCCAAAATCTACTTTTCAACGCCATCATTGTCTTCTTCTTCTTTTCTTCTTCTTCTTCTTCAACACTTTATCCATGTCCCTTCTTTCTCTCCTCAATGAATAGTGCAGGTGAAACCGAGCTTCGATTGCCAGGACGGCGACGGCAGCCCGAAATTGACACAATAGGAGCTGGCGGATCTGTTGTTGGCGACTGGATGCGGAGGTGACACAACAACAGTGGCGGGATGAGGGCGTTGACTGAGCTGACAGAGGAAGAGGTGGTTCTGGGATGAGGGGGCTGACAATGTTGGTAGAGGAAGAGGCAATTCTGGCAGTGACGGTTTTTCTGCGGTGGGTTTAATCAGGGGAGGCGATCCGACTTTGGTGGTAGACGATGCATGAAGGGGGTGACAGATGGGTTTTTTGTTAGTGAACTTTATAGATCTGGGGACGGGAATGGTCTATAGGGTCGAAGAAAGTAGATTCATGGAGTTTTGGTGGTTGTAGGAGAAGCCTTGTCGCCGCTCGTGAAGCCCCTGTCGCTACTGCTGAAGAATCAAAACCAGAGGAGGCTGGCGGCGGACAGGTGGTGGGACGGCGAGAGGAAAGAGAAATTAATTAATTAATTTTTATTTTTTTAAATTAAAATATGGCATGGCATCTATGTGGCAAGCGTCGTTGAGTTGTCACTGACGTGTCCGACTATTTGGCATTTTAGTCAGCCTAACGTTAACCTAACTGATGGAGTCTCTAACACCGTTAATGTTTGTAACGAAAATGGCTAGATTTTGTCATACAACATTCAGAATTTTGGCTATTTTTGTTTCCGATAGCTATGGCTATATTTTTCACAAACATAAAAGTTGTGGCTATGAAAGTGTATTTTGCCAATATTTAATCTGAAATTCATAACTCAATGATATATGAGCTTATGATAGATCTTGAGTGTGTTTCTTTACTATTTGATGCCTTTATGGTATTGTTTCATGTTTCTCAAGATTACAACCCACTCAAGACGAATATGTATTACGAAGGCACCCAATGATCAAAAGGAGGATGAGAATACAAGCTCATGGCCCAAACGGAGATTGATTCTGACATCGGAAGCTCAAGTTATGGACTAGAGAATAGTATTTTGAGGAGCATACGATTCAAATGAAGCCTGATTGAGCTGAAATTGCAGGAGCAGCTCAATGAGCCCAAGATAAAGTTGTCCACAAAAAAATGGGCCGATTTGGAGAAGAAATGATAGTGGCAGGTCCAATTGTCGTGGCACCGCCGCTTGGCTCAAGAACTCCATGAAGCTTCTTCAACAAGTAGCTCGTCCACAAGTCGAAGAAAACCGACTTTAAGTCTAATAAGAAAGGATTTGACCGACTTTTAGGAGGACAAATACTAGAAAAATCCCTTCTGTAACTAGTATAAATAGGATGCTAGGCTAGAGCTTTTGTACACACTTTACAATCACTTTGACCTAGGGCACGAGTTAGAGAGGTAGGAGAGGAGGAGGAGGTTGACGAGGATGGCTTCATCATCTATAGTGATGTATTCCAATTCTTCTTTGTATCATCTATTGCTCGAGTGTTTGATGATAAGATTATTGTATTAGTTAGTTTATCAATGCTTATGATTCTACTAAATTCTACTATATGCATTATGTTTAGTATTATCTAGATTGTCAAGAAATTACCATCTAGTAATACCCCATTGATGTTAGACATGTATGAGAGGAGTAGTTAACCATCCATGCATTGACTAGTATCAATCCTTGATTCTTAGATCATTTAATATGGTTCTTAGAAGTCCAAAATGAATCATGTGATATCCTAACTTCCTTGTTTTTCATTGATAAGGTGATGGCATGAAGCAAAAACATGCATTACTTTGCTAGGGTTGTAGTAAAATGGCTCGGTCATAATCCACGGGATCCCTAAGCTTACTATTACTTTGCTCCAAACTACTGATAGACCGTTAATTGCACATGTTTTTACCCCTGTTCTTACACCGTTTGAGATGTGATTTCTCGCGTTTTAAGCCGATTTCACGCTAGGTTGTGCTTGTTTGTGATATTTCAGGTCCTAGTACGTGAATGGAGACTCGGGAGCGAGTTTGGGGTTGATTGGACGAAGATCGGGCGCGAGGCAAGTCACAAAGGAGGCCACACGGGCACACCCACAAATAACACGGCCGTGCAAATCATATTTCTGGCCGTGCGAGTTTTGCCGAGAGCAAACACGGCCTGCCCTGACATTTCACACGGCCGTGTGACGAAGTGCTCTGGCCGTGCGACTTCTGCCGTGAGCAGACACGGGAAGATGGAAATCAAACACGGCCGTGCCAACCTGGCCGTGTGAGAAGCCTGAAAATCAAACTAAGTGGAACGCAGCGTTTTAACTCACACGGGCAACTGGGTGGCCACACGGCCGTGTGGCCCTGCCCGTGTGAGTCGGGATTTCCTGGTTTTAACCCAATTCCGGGCTGCAAGAGAGAGGATCGGACTTTTTGAGCAAAAACAGAGTTTTAGAGAGAGAAAGGACGAAGAACTCACCCTAGAAGCCATCTTGGAGCTGGGTTTCATCAAATCAAGCTTGGAGATCGTCCTAGGAGTGGAAATCATCATCCCGGAGCAGATTTTCCTCATCATTATGAGTATGACTACTCCGATTACTGTTTTCTTTTCTCTCTCTATGGAGTAGAACCTCTCTCTCACTTGGGGATGAAGAACCCTAGTTCTATGTGTTAGGGGATTGATTGTAATGACTTGGGATGATATTACTGTTTGATTTTAATCGAATGATGCATGTTTATTGAGTCAATTGAAGTCTGATCAACTTTTCCTGATTCCTGCTGCAATCTGAGATAGATAGAATCTGATTAGGTTGCTAGAGTCTCATCATTCGATAGTAGGAGATTGGCTATACGAGATTTAGCCAGTTTACTGCTTTGTACTGGAATCTAATTCCAGTAGTGAATTTCTGTTCTTACTGCTTCAGCTTTCTATCCCGGTGAAGACTAGTCGTCTGCCGGGTAGTTAGACTGAGAGGGCTTGGTCAGCTTAAGAGATTCCAAGCTACTGCCGGATCTTCCGCAGTCTAATCAACAGTAAATCAACCCAGGGTAAATTGCAATCGAAACCTAACTAAGGAGCTAGGAGGATTCATTCCCGAGTGACTCTTTCCTGCTTAAGAAAACCGAATAAATTCCTGCTTTATTTCTGCTTTTAGTTTAAACAACAATCACTTACTTTAGTTGGCTAGATAACAGAGAATCACTGAGTAAGCAGTAGATCTAGAGCCCGGGTTGATAATATAACTTGCCTGTTACTGCATTCCCGGTCTGCGATTACACTTGGTCGCAGATTGGTGTTGTGTTTTGGCGTGTCAAGTTTTTGGCGCCGTTGCCGGGGAACCCTCTAGGTTATTGGGGAAACGTGATACTTTGTTACTCTAGCTTTTTATTTACTGCATTTTATCTCTTCCACCTGTGTGCCTTCACGAGTTGTTTCTGCTGATTGTGTGCAGGTAGTGCATGACCCGTAGCCAGTCGGGAGATCTACTACCACTAGACCAGGAGCTTGAACGAACCTGCAGAAACTTTAAGCGGGCTCTAAAGGCGCGACTGGCTGCGGAGGAGGCGCTATCACAGCTGCAGTTAGAGGAGGAAGAAGAAGAGATGGCTGAACCAGGGAACCATGATATGATCCCTGAGGAGCAAACCATGGGATCCTACTGGACCGCTAAAGCTGCGGACATGAGGTCACCCATTCAGCATCCTCATGTCCCAGCCAACAATTTTGAGGTGAGCACCTCAGTAATCACCATGCTGCGCGGTTCAGTGGTGTTCCGTGGTAAGGAGGGGGAGTGCCCCCGATCACATCTCCGGCGATTCCATGAGCTCATTGATGGAATCAAGATCAATGGGGTACCCGCAGATGCCATCCAGCTGTGGTACTTCCCATTCACTCTGGAGGGGCAGGCCAAGGAGTGGCTAGACACTCGACCTCCAGGCTCCATCACTACGTTCGCCAACCTGGCGGACAAGTTCCTCACCCGCTACCATCCTCCATCCAAGACAGCTGACTTGCAGAAGCAGATCACCCACTTCACCCAGGACGAAGATGAGACCATCAGGGATGCTTGGGAGAGATACACCAGTCTTTTCCTCAGGTGTCCCAATCATGGTTCCAATGATGCATTCAAGGTGGGCACCTTCTATCACGCCCTCTTCCCGGAGGACAAGCAGCTGATTGATTCGGTTTGTGGCGGGAACATGCTGACAAAAACCCCACCACAACTGAATCAACTCTTTGAGGAGATGGCGGAGAACGGGTACGACTGGGGCACTGCCAGGAGATCGAGGCGAGCACCAGGACGTGGTGTGCATGCTGTGGGCACCCAGTCATCTGATTTGGTGCAGGTGGTATCGAAGCTGGTTTCAGCTATCGATCGTTCTGGTTTGATTGCAGGTACAGGACAGCCGCAGGCGATGCACTGCCAGTGGTGTGAGAGCTCCCATCACACCGTAGAGGACTGCCAGGCGATGAGGGAATCGTCTACTCCCCAGGAGCAGGTGGACTTTATCAGTAATGCCAGGCGCTTCGACCCCTACAACAACACTTATAACGAGGGGTGGCGCCAGCATCCGAACTTTTCCTGGGCTGGGGCAAATCCCAAACCACCAGCCCCCCAGGGACCACCTGGCTTCCAGAGGCCTCCGTACCAGCCCAGACAGGGGCAATTTCAGCAGCCACAGCAGCCACTCTACCAGCCCAGACAGGGGCCAGTCCCACCACAATCACAGGTGCGACCATTTTAGCAGACAGGAGCAGCACCTGCAGCTCCAGTACAGAGTGACCCGATGGCGGAATTGAGAGATTTGGTGGGTTCTCTGGCCACCTCCAGTGCGAACAAGTTCAATAACATCGAGCAATTCATGGAGAAAGCTTCAGGCAAATTCTTGGAGCTAGAAGCTGGTCAGAGAAATACACAGGCTGTGCTACGGGATATACAGACCCAGCTTGGGAGTGTTGCCCAGGCTGTAGCTCAGAGGACTCCTGGTACCCTGCCTGGTCAGACCATTCCTCATCCACAGGATCCGAATGCCAACTGCAGTGCCATCACAACCAGGAGTGGCAAGGTGACTGCCGATCTGCCTGTTCGGGCAGAGGAGAGAGAGACCCCTGCTTCAGCACTTCTAGCTAATCAGGAAGACATGGAGAAGGAGGTTGAGGTGTATGCTCCTATATCGCAACCAGTGGTGAAGGAGTATGTACCCCAGCTTCCCTTTCCTACTCGGTTGCACAAGGACCGACTGGAGACTGAGTTTGCCAAATTCATGGCAATGCTGAAGCAGGTAAACATTAGCATGCACTTTGTGGAGGCATTATCGAAGATGCCCAAGTATGCCAAATTCATGAAGGATCTCCTCACCAACAAGAGGAAGCTTGGGGAGCTGTCAACGGTGATGCTCAACGAGGAGTGTTCTGCCATCCTGCAGAACAAACTACCAGAGAAGCGAAAAGACCCAGGGAGTTTCACTATCCCTTGCATGATTGGTAGTTTGCATATAGGGAAGTCCTTGGCGGATTTAGGCGCTAGCATAAATGTCATGCCTTATAAACTGTTTAAAAAGCTAGGCCTAGGTGAACCCAGTGATACTAGGATGAGCATCCAGCTTGCTGATAGATCCATTGTGCATCCTAGGGGTATAGCAGAGGACTTGATAGTCGCAGTAGGGCCATTTTCATATCCTGCTGATTTTGTGATTTTGGACATAAATGAGGATGTTGATGTGCCATTGATACTGGGTAGACCTTTTCTCGCCACTGCCAAGGCGCTTATTGATGTTAATGATGGAAAACTGATTTTGAGAGCTGGGGGTGAACAAATCACCTTCTCTGTTTCTGATAATATGAAACACCCCCAGCTCCATGATGATCTAGATTACTGTGATGTTGTTGCTGATTTTGAGACCGCACTCGCCATCACGAGTGCGGGTACTGATGATTTCCTTGAGCGTTGTCTTTTGCTAGGGAAACAGGCATCACAGGATGTGCAGCTGGAGGAGCAACTGGCAGAGCTGGACGAGGCCATGATCGAGGGGCGAGAGATACCATTCAAGCCGATCCCCATCTCGCCCCGGCTCGCTACATCATTGGAGGAGCCACCAGAGTTGGAGCTTAAGCCCCTCCCATCTCACCTGGAGTATGCATTTCTCCGGGAGGGGAATAAGCTCCCGGTCATTATTAGCTCGGATCTGACACCCGAGCAGAAGAGCGGGCTGGTGGCTTTGCTGCAGAAGTATGCCCGGGCCATGGCATGGAAGATCACAGACATCGGAGGCATTAGCCCATCCTTCTGCTCCCACAGAATTCTGATGGAGGATGAGGTTAAGCCATTCAGGCAGCCGCAGAGGAGATTGTCTCCTAACTTGGAGGCAGTGGTCCGGGCAGAGATTGTGAAGCTCATGGATGCAGGGATCATCTTTGCTATATCTGATAGCAAGTGGGTCAGCCCCACTCAGGTGGTCTCGAAGAAAGGCGGGATGACTGTGGTCCCGAATGAGAAGAAGGAGTTGATCCCGATGCGGACCGTGACCGGCTGGAGAGTCTGCATCGACTACCGGCGCCTGAATGACGCCACCAAGAAAGATCATTTTCCCCTACCTTTCATTGATCAGATGCTGGAGAGGTTGGCTGGCCATGAGTTCTATTGCTTCCTGGATGGCATGTCTAGTTACTTCCAGATTCCTATTGCTCCGGAGGATCAGGCGAAGACCACATTCACTTGCCCCTTCGGTACTTTTGCTTACAGGAGGATTCCATTTGGGCTGTGTAATGCACCGGCGACCTTCCAGAGATGCATGCTGGCGATCTTCGACCGACTGGTTGGAGAGATCATGGAAGTCTTCATGGATGATTTCTCGGTTTATGGAGACTCCTTCTCTCATTGTCTCCATAACCTGGAACTTGTTCTGAAGAGGTGTGAAGAGACGAATCTGGCACTCAGCTGGGAGAAGTGCCATTTTATGGTTCGTGAGGGTATTGTGCTCGGGCACAAGATCTCCAAGCAGGGGATTGAGGTGGATCGCGCGAAGATTGAGACGATTAGTAAGCTACCTCCTCCCATTTCTGTGAAGGGGATCCGCAGCTTTCTAGGTCACGCAGGCTTCTACCGGCGCTTCATCAAAGATTTCTCGAAGATTGCCCTGCCTTTGACCAAGCTGCTAGAGAAGGATGCACCATTCCAATTCACTCCCGAGTGCACAGCTGCATTTGAGACTCTTAAGGAGAAGCTGACCCATGCCCCTATCATGGTAACTCCTGACTGGTCTCTCCCTTTTGAGCTGATGTGCGATGCGAGTGACTATGCAGCCGGAGCAGTTCTGGGTCAGAGACGCGAGAAGCACTTCCAGCCCATCTACTACGCGTCGAAGACTTTGAACGATGCACAGGAGAACTACACCACCACTGAGAAGGAGCTCCTCGCTGTGGTGTATGCATTTGACAAGTTCCGGCCATACCTGGTGCTCTCACATGTGGTGGTCTACACAGATCACTCGGCGATTCGCTACTTGATGAGCAAGGCTGATGCAAAGCCTCGGCTCATCCGCTGGATCCTGCTTCTGCAGGAATTCGACATCGAGATCCGGGACAAGAAAGGAGCCGAGAATGTTGCTGCAGATCATCTTTCATGGTTGGAAGCCTCTCCGGTGGACAACTTCGTGGAAGAGATCGACGACTCTTTCCCGGGTGAGCGATTGCTGGCGATGACACTGGTGGACAGCGTGACCCCTTGGTATTCTGACTTTGCCAATTATCTGGTGGGCAAGCAGTTACCCAAGGGGATGGCTACACATGCAAAGCGCAAGTTCTTCTACGATCTGAAGCACTACTTCTGGGAGGATCCTTTCCTCTTTAGAATCGGAGCAGATGGCGTGATCCGGCGCTGTGTCATGGAGCACAAGATGGGAGACATCCTGTCTCAATGCCACGAGGGACCTACTGGAGGTCACCATGGAGGAAACCGCACGGCGCGGAAGGTGGTACAGTCGGGCTTCTATTGGCCCTCGCTCTTCAAGGATGCAGACTCCTTCGCACGCCAGTGCGACCGCTGCTAGAGGTCAGGTAACATTTCGTCCCGGGATGAGATGCCCCAACATATCTCTGTTATCTGTGAAATTTTTGATGTATGGGGTATCGATTTCATGGGCCCATTCCCTCCATCTTTTGGCAATCTGTACATTTTGGTTGCAGTAGACTACGTCTCGAGGTGGGCAGAAGCTCAGGCCATGCCCACCAATGATGCAAGACGGGTCTGCTCATTTCTGAAGCAGCTGTTCTCCCGGTTCGGGACACCCCGCGCCATCATTAGTGATAGAGGAACCCATTTTCAAGGGCAATTCACTAAACTCCTCTCTCGCTATGGTGTTAAGCATCAGGTGTCGGTGGCCTACCATCCCCAGTCAAATGGGCAGGCCGAGCTGACGAACCGGGAGCTAAAACGAATTATTGAAAAGACGGTGGATCAGTCTCGCAAGGATTGGTCCACCAAGCTCGATGATGCTCTTTGGGCGTATAGGACTGCCTATAAAAATCCGATTGGCACTTCTCCCTATAGGCTTGTCTATGGGAAGGCGTGCCATTTGCCGGTAGAGCTAGAGCACAAGGCCTTCTGGGCCATTAAGCTGCTAAACATGGATTTGAGTGTTGCAGGTACAGAACGTAAGTTGCAGCTGCTGGAGTTGGAGGAGTGGCGTTACCACGCCTACGAGAACACCATGCTCTACAAGGAGCGCACCAAGCGTCTCCATGACGCTCGGTTGAGGGGCCCGAAAGAGTTTCAGGTAGGTGATCGTGTTCTGCTTTTCAATGCACGCCTGAAACTCTTCCCGGGTAAGCTCCGTTCGAGGTGGTCGGGTCCCTTCACGGCCGTGTGACACCCCTCGGCCAGGCCGTGTCAACCGACACGGGCAAAAAAATTCACGAGACACGGCCTTGCGTGTCTGGCCGTGTGGCCGAGACACGGCCTATTTATTCGGCCAGCACGGCCGGGTCGTCAGAATATTTCAAACCCCTCGCCGGAAAACCGCGCAAAAACCCTACTTTTTGATTTTTTCGGCCATTTTTTTGTCATCTTTTCACCAAACCAACAACAAACCCACCCTTCCTCCACCAAAAGCGGCCTATCCCTCCATTTTGAGGAGATTTGGCCGACGTTTTTGTCGCCGGAGGCGATTTCCGGCGAGACTCCGGCGAGGCTCCGACGAGCACTTCCGGGCACTTTTTTCGGCTTTTCGTCGCTTCCATCGCCTTCCCCTCATCATCCCCTACACCTCTACTTGAGTCTCCAGGTTTGATTTTGCCCTTAACTATGTTAATTGTGGAGAATTGGGTGTTATGGTGCATGTTTAGAGAACTTCATTGAATCTTGTGATTTTTGTGCAATTGATTGAGGGGAATGCATGGAGGGTGTTTGAATTGTGTTGGGCAAAGTCCCTCTTCATTGTTTGAGCCCTTGTGTGCAAGAATTGTGCCAATTTCATGTTTACCTTAATAGTGCACACAAGGTGTTCGATGAAATGCCTGTTTTCGTACCATTTTGTGGGGGTCGGTTGGGACCCTTAATGATGTGCTTTGAGGGTGTATTTAGTATGGATGTGAACCTTAAGTTGCCTATTTTATCGTGAATGTGCACCCCCACTCAGATTATGCTTGATTTATCGAGTTTCTGACCCCCGAACTATGGATGAAACCATGGTTAGGCTGTTTTTCTGTTCTTCAGTGTGGAGGTGTGATTAACATTTTTCTTGGCTGTTTTGGTTCCACTTTGGGCTGTTCTTTTGCAGGATCATGTCGAAGCCCAACCTCTGACATCAGTATGTTCAAGACTTGAGAAGGGCGCCCCACCGGGATCATTTTCAGAACGTCCTGGCTTGCAAGTTTGGGCAGCACCATTACTGGTCGAAGCGCGAGCTGGAGAAGCTCAACTGCTACGAGCACCTCGCCCCCGTTGTCACCAACAAATACTGGCGCCGTCTACTCAGCATCCGCGCGACGGTTTACCATGAGCTCGTGCTTGAGTTCTACACCACCTTCAGGCACGCAGCCACGGATGATTGGAAGGATGAAGCTGCAGTCCAGTTCCGACTAGGGGGTGAACCACGCTCTATGAGTTACGACGAGCTGGCGGACGCCCTGGGTCTCAACTTGGTAAATGACAGGAACTTCATCACAGAGGTCGCCGAGCCAGTAGGGGTGGACTTCGGGAGGCTGTACTACAGCCTCGCTCGGCCACGTCAGCTTCCCTTCAAGGCGGGGAAGACGAAGGCCACCACATTGCAGCTCGAGAACCGTCTCCTCCATCACCTGCTGGCCAAGTCTTACACCCCAGCCTCAGACAGTGCCAGCGCCATCACCAAGAGATCCCTGTACTTCATTCAGTCCATGCGCCAGAGGGATCATCCCCTGCACTTGGGCTCGGTGGTGGCGAGGACCTTCGAGAAGAGTGCGTCTGAGCTGAAGAGACTACACTGCACTCCTCTCATCACCTGCCTGGCAGAGTATTTCCAGATATCCCTGCAGGGATGCATGGAGCAGGGAGCGACCACTCCTTTTGGCCGGGCTACGCTCACCAAGATGCTCCTACTTCGAGAAGATCGAGGAGTCATGTGGATCGAGGGGTTTCCTCAACCCCAGATTCCAGAGGCGGTCCAGCAGGAGGCTCCAGAGGGTGCAGCTGATGAGGAGGTCTAGCCCGAGGACGTGGATGACACTGCTGCCCGCCCCACCACCTTCGAGTACGGGGGTGGCAGTTCCAGTTTCCCGGGGCAGGATTACTTCACCTCCCAGTTCGAGCAGCTGCGGCTCCAGAACCAGCAGATCATCGACCACCAGATGCAGTTCCAGCAGCAGTACGCGGCTCACCAGGCCGAGTACCACCAGAGGATGGCTCGTTGCGATGAGAGATTGGACCAGCTCCAGACCCAGCAGGGGGTGACTCTCGCACACATCGAGCGAGAGAGGCGCCGTTCACGGCGCATGCAGGAGGTCCAGCAGCATCTGCTCCAGCTGATACCGGGCGAGCAGCCAGTTTGGAGGACTCCCTGGGAGGACTCTCCACTTCCACCTCCCCCAGCGGATGGTGATGATAGTGCTGATGGTGGTGACGCTTTCATGAACGACATCAACTTCGATCTGGACGACCTCGGCGACGAGTAGGCTGTACTCGTTGCCCATCTCAGTGTGTTTTATTTTTCGTTTTAGACTTGTGTGTGTTTGCTCCATGTGTGAGGAGCTTGAACTAATTGTCGTTTGTTTTTTGTTTTCGGTTTTCTTTTGTGGATTGTTTTTGCTATAGCCGTCTGGGCTAGCACTTATCCCAAACGCACAGTGTGCTAGTGTGTTCTTGGTGTTCGATTCGTGCAGAACGGTCCATCTTCCCGTTTGTTTCTCGCTGACTGGTCCACTTCCAGTCCCCCAGCAGTTTCAATCCGGTAACATCGTTCCCCTTCTCTATCCCTCTACTCCATTGAGGGCAATGGCGTGCTTAAGTGTGGGGGGGTGCTTTGTATCGGTTGGAATGTATATATGTGTGCTTGGAGCCTAGTCCACTGTCCAAATCTTGAGATTTGAGGGCTCCAAGTACTGCTGTTTGATCATATTGGCACTGTGTTTTGATTGATGAATTGAATGGTTTTCGGATTGATGCATGACAGCTTGATGTGACTAGGACAACCTATGATGAGGACTAAGATGTGCAGTAGAGTTGTGTAGGGGTTCAGTTTTCCAACTGTTTGCTTACCAACTGTGACTTGGATTGATTACTTGTTCTTGACAGTCTCTTATGCATCTAGTTCAGGGTATCGGAATGTGAGATAGAGCATATAGGTAGCCATGTGAGATTTGAGCCTGATCGTTTCTTTCTTGTGCGATAGATCCCTCTTCCATGATGTGTAGCATTCACGTTGTCACTAGCTAGGATGATGGGGGCATAGGATTAGCCCACGACCAAATTTGACTGTCCTGATGTGTCATACCCTCTAGTCAGCCCCTTTGAGCCGTGTGTTATCCTTTCTTTTGGTCTGAAATGGAAAAAATCACCCTTTTTGCATCTTTTAGAAGGTTCCACAGAGTGGTTTTTACAGATTCTTGGCTGTTTCTGCTAAATTGAATGTGAGTGTTGGAGGTAGTGCTTAAAAGTTGGGCAGATGTTTGAAATATGTGCAGAAGTGGTGGCTCTCTTAGGAAATGAAAAGAAAATGAAAGAAAAACAAAGAAAAATTGAAATCAAAGAGAGCCACTACCAAAAATCTGAATAATGCCCAGTAAGTAGTGTTTCTTAGCAGTCTGGCTTGGAAATGCTGACATTTATACCTCCTTCGCTTTTGTGCTCTTGAGATATTGAGTAATGCAGAATAGCAGAAAGGAAATACCGGTTTGTTTGACTGTGATTGTTTGGGTTTGGAAATGTGGAACCTTGTGCTATGAATACTTCCACCACCTAAAAGGCCTTTTCCCCATGTCCAAGACCCTAGCCAGTCATTTGAACCTGTGTCTAAGACCTCCTGATTAGTTAGTGGTGACACCCCATATGTGAACTCTAGCATTTAGAGGCTGCCATCATGGTGAAGAGATGTTAGGGATTGAGAGAAATAACATGCGCATTTTTCGCATCAAATTGTCCTGACCCCACTGGTCGAGAGTGAGTGATTCATTTTTCATATTCTATATACTCTTGTACCCCGGTGAGGACCTAGATTGCTTGGTCTCTATTCTGATGTCTTGAGTTGGATGCATGAGTTGACTGTTTTGAGTAAGTGGTTGAGTCAAGTCTAGGTTGGTTGGTGAACAGAAGGGAGACTCTTCCTTTACTCGATTTTGCTGCACTCGAATGTCCTTTGTGGTGGTTGTCCAGGTTGCTAATGAAGTTGCTCATGTGTTGATGTTTGAAAACCAGTACGATTCACGTGTTCTATGCCTTTATGACTTGTCCCCAATGTTGATTGATTGAGATATGTAAGCTTACCTTGTGTCTGACTTGGTTTGCTTGGGGACAAGCAAACGGTTAAGTGTGGGGGAGTTTGATAGACCGTTAATTGCACATGTTTTTACCCCTGTT